CACACACAGAAACCAAACAAACAGAGCAGTGAGCTGCAGACAAACCACCGGATTACAACCCAATATTTGTAAGTGTTAGTAAACCTCTTTCCCATGCAAACAAATACTTCATACCATATCAACCACATTTGCATTTACCCATTCAACTATATCATTTTAATCCAATACAACTCACAGTTCACAATGTGAACTGCCATAGACTTTAAAAGTGTAGGTTGGAGGTTGTGTTACTGACCATGTTGCACATCATTACAACATATTTTGTCCTTGCACGCTGTGAAATATGAAGGGATGACACTGACTTTAATATTTGCCTTCAGTCTACACATTGTTCGTGTTATTTCAACAGAAACAGACAGAGGAATACATAAATGCATAAATAGTTTGCTTGAATGACAAAATGTCGAACTGCCAGCAAACTGGGGACAAGTGACTTGAAGTGTGATCAAATATGGCGGCAGCACGCCCGGGTCACAGGGTTACCTCATTCAAGGGTTGAGAACATCAAATCTAAAAGTGCAGCCAGCAGTCATCTCACAATCAGTACATCTGGGTATCTGGGAACTGCAAGGCAAACATACAACTGCTATACTCATGAATAATGCAAGATTCTAGAATACCTGACCTTCAGCAACCCGGCACACCACCTGTGTGTGCTGTAGCACTTTTTTGTTTGGCTTATTTAATATCATGAACCAAAGTTTCTGATGCTCATGATGTTATGGTCAACAAATGCACTTTGGCCCAGATCATGGTGCTTAAAATTAGCCTGAAATGAACGAAACATCAGGAATTCCACTGTAATCTAAAACATGATGAGGGATTTCAGGTTGCATATGTGTGAGGTCATCATTTAACTACTTCATTTCCAGTTTTAATTGACTTGCATTATCTGAAAAAAAGCGAGCCAGGTTTTGATCCTTACAAATATCCAACTCGATTTAATTCTTCTTTGTTCTGACTTTATTGCAGGGAGAGTTGCAATGACCCAGTTCGTCAGCGGTGATCAATACAGTCTCATCTTATTCAGTTGACTCCCGTTCCCAAGTGAAGCTTATGAAAGGATCAATACCAGCAAGAGAGGGCTGAGGCAGTTCACCGGCGGTCGAGGTCTCCGCAGAGTCAGAGCCTTTCAAAGCGCAGTGGTCTGGTCACATGCTCATGTTCCTGACAGTTTCATCAGGGCTCTGAAACTCAGAAGAAAAAAAACAGACCCTCACATCTTAAACAGTGTCTGGCACGACGCAGGCGGAGCAAACCTGCAGCATTTGAAATGTTCTAAATCCCGTCCCACCTAGTCTTATATTCCACGGGGTAAAATTTGCCTCATTATCGGTGTCACTGATGGATGCTGGTGGATGTTGGGCTCAGCTTAAAATTGGCAGGAAGAAGACATGGAAGGGAACGGTTTGGATAATCATTTCTGAAATAATGCAGCTCACCTTTAGTTCCCCTCTATCAGCCTCAGTCTTGTCAGGATTTACGGCTTCAGAAAGATGCGATTCTCCTTTCAGAATGCCACGATCTGGCATACTGAGAGGATCAATCAGAACTTCATAAGGGACACCGGGATGCTTCCAGGAAGATGGAATATGGACGCTCCAGATTTCGGGCTGCCCAAAGGTCCCTGTGGATTCAGAACACGTTTTTAAGATTACTTTGTCAGGCTGTGTTTCATGCTGGCACAGTGAAAACTATTGCCTCTTAACGCTTTCTATTTCTGAATTCCATTGAAAGGTTTTAGCCGCTAACTGCTTTGCCACGTTGTACAGCATATCTCATTCAGCCACACAGGACATTTGCAATTTTATTTCTTTATATTCTATATATACTTATATATAATTATTTCCATTTTAATCTATTTTTGTGTCTTTAGTAATACGACCATTCTCTGTCCTAATTTGGACAAATTACTGAAATTAATGTTTCTGTTTGGTGACTAGAATAAGAGAAAGTTACTGTGTAAATATTGAGCATCTTTATATTTTTTCATGGGTGATCTCTGTTAAATGTCCTCTTTAAGCAGAATGCACCGAGATCTAAGATCACTCCACTTTTTTACAAGTTTGATTAAAAATCAATCTGTTATTCAAATAAATGTGTGTGTTCCTCTGAATTAATTTTTATCTTATATTTAAAAAATCCCACACTCAGTTTACAGGTAGTCTCAAAGGAGGATGTTTCCTTACTTTTGGGGTAAAATGTTATGCCATTGTAGCTAAACCTCATCTGCATGTGAGGATAACAGATGACAGTGCTCCCTTTACTTACCCCTCATGATTTGGTCATTTTAACAGTGTAGAATGAAACACAAAATTCTTAAAATGCATAGAAATTAAATATCATGCATGAGCTGCTACGTCAGACTGTAACAAAGCCTAAAGATTATTTTTACCCAGAAAGCCTACCACTCCAGGTAACTTTTTCGACTAAGCATCCTTATTTTAGCCTCAAATAGGGGACAGAAGTACACAGAGTGGCACCCACCAATGAATTCTCCCTTTGCACTCCAAAGGCGCACAGTGCGGTCGGTGGATGAGGTGAGCACCGCTTGATCACTGTCAACAGTCTCCAGGCTTGACGAGAATAAAGAGGCACACGATGAGAAAAGGAAAAGGCATGTTCTGGCAGAACGCTGTTAATCATCAACTCTGTCTGGATGTCAGATGCACCCCGGGCAGCTTCTCACCTTGTTAGTGAAAGACCTTCTCACACACACACACACTCACTCTGCACTCTGTTTTTCTGCCACAGAGAAGTGAAGCTATTCTACGGCTGCAACCGACACCTCAGGGTTGGTGAATTTCGGGAAATGCAATTAGCTAAAAGTTAAGGACAAAACAAGTCTGACTGCTCTCTGACCCGATAGTGGCTAAATTAAATCTGCGGTTGGTTCCAGGACACGTGGAGTAATTCACTTACCCGGTAATTGCGCTCGTGTGGGCACGCCAGAAGTTTTCGGCTGCAGAACAGTACATGAAAAGAAGGGAATGGAAACCTCTGGAGACATTCTCATGAGCAACATCTTTCTATAACGACAAAAGCCAGAGCAATCTGGAACTAACCTCCGGGTTTTTTTTTCTCAGGGTCAAACTTCTCCAAGTCGTAGATATAGATGTAACCAATTCTGTCAGCTGTGTACAGCAGCATGCCGTTGTCAGCTCTGGCCAGTTTTACTATCTTTTGTTGGAATTTAGACTGTGAAGTACCAATGCAAAGAACAAAAAAAAAAAGACAGATTTCAGGTAAAGTCTTTAGCTTGAAAAACATTCATTATTTCGGTTCAAATGAATTGAGAGAAGAAAAAAACAGAAGAATAACACTTTTATCTCCCCGGTGGAGGCTACATTTTTACTCCCATGCAGAGAGACTTAAAATTAATATTTTCTAATATGTGCACGATGTTATATAATAATGAATCATAGAAAGTTTTACAAATAAGTCAGTGTATATGAGCCACTGCTGGTAGAAATGTAGGAAGGTATGATATCAAAGCCAAAATCAATTTTTTGACCTATCACAAAACTCCAAGTACAGCTAAATAAGACTGCTGGAATCCTAAATCAAGCAAAAATGAGACAGCATTTTTTTCTCAAAGGTCCAGGATTAGTCTCCTTTGTTCACATATTGACTGTCAAACGAAAAACAGCAACATTTTTTTAGACAAACTGCTCGCCTCAAAATGAAATACTATCCATGAACTAGTAAATTGCTTCACTTTCAGCGGATTATTCAGTTCTATCTTCTTTTGAGAATAAAATATTGATTTAGAATTTTGAAGAATTATAATTTTGTTTTAAATTTTTCATTTTACAACACATCTTTTTTTTTAACCGGAATTTTACTATGTATCCTCTAAAATGATCATTTTTATTGTTTTTGGAGAGCACTATGTTTGTTTTCAGCCTTGAGGACTGTCTAAATGCCCTCATGTTCACCCATCTCCCAAAAGCCAATTTGCATGATTTATGTGCAAGGAGAGTATTTGCATCTTTTTTAGAAAAAGCAAACAAAGAGAAGTTGCAAACCATGATATATCTTATTCTTGGTTTGCATTTTTTGAGACAAGAGAAAGAGAAGTACTCCTCCTGAATTGTCAACAGGGAATGCAAGAATTCTGAAATGTATTTCAAAACATATATGTAAAATATCTGACCGCTTTGAACTTGCCCACAAGTTTTCCTCCGCCGAGTACATCCCAGAGGTTTATATAACCTTTAAAAGAAGGAATACATAAATAACACATTGATGAAAGACACCGGGAGACTGTAAAGTGCGGTTGTGTGCTGAAATCTTTCCGGCTCACAACACTGACCTCTGATACCAGATGACAATAGAGCTGTAGCTGGGAACCGCTGCAAAGTGGAGTTCTGCAGGAAAAGGATGCAAGGAACACTTTCATCCAATTCTGCTGTGAAACACAAGATAAATGTCGTGCTTTAATCACCCCATACATCTCAAGCACGGAAGAGTTAGGAGGACTTATAAAAAAAATCCCTTTTGGAGCTCAGAAATAACCTTCGGGATCCCGGTGCTCAGTTTCAACAGGGCTGCTAAACCAGCAGTGCACACGCTGAGAAGCCATGTTCCACACTATAATCTCTCCATCACAGCTGCTGGTGGCCAGGAAAGATGGGGGACACTGCGCCACACAAAGGATGTCCCCCTTATGGCCATTTACCTGAGGAGAAACACATCTTTAGTATCTATAAATGACTGAATGTGAGTGAGATGTTACTGAGTGTTTTCACAACACAGAAATTAACTTTTTTTCAGACATAGTAATCTGTCAAACTAATGTAGCGACTACTAAAGCATAGGAGTATGATTAAAACTTCAACAGCACTTTCCTATACAGACCACCACAGGCCCTGTCACTACAATGTGCCCATCATCCCCTTTCTGTTTTAATACTGCCAACCCATCCTTGGCATTTTTGACCTCATACACTATTCCCCCCCGAAAACTGGCAGGTTACCAAATGAGCCCAGATGGTTAATTCCGCCATATTCCCTCGAGAAGGATCAAGGAAAGTGCACGTCTACAATAACTGGATGGCAGAAAGGTCATTGTCAATCACATCAAAAACTTCATTAAAAAGAAAAATCCTCAGAAGTCTCCTTGTACTGCAGAGAGTAATCTTCGATTAGATATGTTTTGATACATAACAAGCCACATCTGAATGTCAGTTGTGAATTATCAGCTCGTTTGACGTCCAGCCTATGAGCCCTCAGAAAAGCCTAATATTTCTCCTGCTTTTATACTCCATACTGACACAAAGTCATTCATCTTTTTTATTTCTTCCTGATCTCAACAAGACGGAGTGATACTACTGACATGAGACTGGGTACACGTGCCAGATTAGGGCAGGCAGATGGCAGTTAAAACGGTTTCATTATACTCCATGCCAAAGTGAAATATTAAGCTCAACTGGGTCAAGTTTGAAAATTTTATGAGACGCAACACAACACTGACCATCTGGAGGAACAGACAAACTCACTGTGAAGTGGAGGCTCGCTGACTACTGGCAAGGAGAGCAAACATATCAAACAACACATTGATCTTTCTCCTGCAGGCCATTAATGCAAAAACAATTTCAACACAACCCTCTGTAGATAATCAAAGGGGTCACTTTTGGTCTTGGCCACTGTAATGCAGTCTTTCCGAGCTCATAATGGGTGTCTTTGGGGGTGAATGTAACCACCAGCCGTAATGAAAGAGATTTACAGGCTCTGAAAGTCACCTCATCCAATAGATCATACAGCATTAGTGAGAATAAATGTTCCCTCTTGTGACTCTGGTAGAGAGAACAGTGCCCTGCGGGCAGAGATAACTGGACTGTATTACACATCCAAAACTTGATAAAGAAACTGTCATCTACTCTCTGATTTTTTGGGAGACGGATTATCCTGCTTTGATGGGTTAATTCACCTTTAAAGAAAATAACAAATGACTGTGTGAAGCAATTTCCTTGAGTAGTAAAGTGAAGTTTGGCTTTATCTACAACGGCCATTAAACTGTCAATGCGCAACATTCTGTGCTTTTCTCTCACCGTGCCTTTTAATTGGATGTTGAAAATAATTTTTAGCAACCATATGACCGTTTTACTTTAAATCCAATACAGATGTATGTGTATCTTAGGCAGTAAGATAGATGTGCACATGCTATATTTGAATAAATATTTTTCTTTAACATTTGGTAATCACATCCGATGAGCGTCTTATTCCTCAATCAGACATCCACCAAAATGTTAAGACATTCAGTTAAAAATCACCAAAGAATATTAATAGACACAGCAGATGCTTCATTTCACAAATGACATTTAAGATTTTTTTCCCTTTGAAAGAAATATGCAGTTTCTTGAATCCAAAATCTTTCTCTCAAAGAAATAGAATTAGTTTCTTTCTTCAAATGATGACTGAAGAACTGCGTATTTCCGTCTGTTTTATCAAACAATAAGTGATTGACTGGGTTTTCTGAGAAAGTATATATATTATATGAGTAATTAATACACTTAAGTTTCCTTTTCATAATAAAGTTTATTTAAAAAACGTTATCTTTATTTGCTGTCTCATTTTGTGGGGCTCCTGCTGTTATATATATTCTTGGGTTTACTTTTCACTTTTGATTCACAGCAGGTCTCAGTGTGCTGATTGCTTCTCCTGCATCCTGGTTTTTATTATTTCCCCTGGTATATACAGAGTTCCTTCTTCCTCCTTTCTGTTGTGTGTTATTCCTCATGTCAAATTTAATTTTATTCCGTGCACACTGTGCCTCGTATTTTGATTTATATTTTGTGAATTTCCTGCCACTGCAGCAACTTCTGTTTGATAAAATTTGATCTTTTCTTCACTCCTCTCTGCCTCCTGAGCCTCGGATCTCATCATAAAACCTACTGTGACAATACTATAATGAGTGTGTAGCATAACAAGATCACTAAATAGCAATCACATAAGTTGGTAACCTAGATTCAGACTGGCATCTAAATTCACCTCAGTATAACAAATGAAACTTTCTGCATAAAGAGCCTGAGTCTGTCGCATGAGAAAATCTTACAGGGGCAATAACAGCATAGTGGGAACCAATCCAAAATTCTGGATTAGGCCCATGTAGGTCCATTCCAAAGGTGGAAAAAATGTTTTAACTGCCTCATGTACGATCATGTTTTCAAACATAAGTTTGCTTATTTCTTTATAGCAAATTCAACCTCAGACCGATCATATTTGATTGGTTATTGCTTCCTGTTAGAACATTTAATGTCAAAGTCATCAAGAGTTTTCTCCTCATAATCACCAGATCATTCTGCCATGAAGTCGGCGGTCTTTGTACATGATGAGGGTCCTCATAATTAGCCTGACAAAACACAGAAACTCACTCAGAAGGTATTTTACATTTCATTCATTACGTTATTATTTAAAACATTTTTAAACATCTTGAGAGAACAATGCCTGACTGTCAGTAGCCACTCAACGGGAGAGCAAAAATAGGCAGTTATTTCTAACTTGTTTCATTTTAAAACAAGATGCTACACATGTCTTTCATGGAATGCATGAGCTAAGTTAGTAATAACAGAAAAAGAAAATGTAAATTGGATGTGATATGATGAAAGAATTAAGGAAGAGGAGAAATCATTGGAATGGGATTTCAGAGAGACAACAGACAAAAAAAATCGATTGAATTCCGTAATTATTTTTGTACTCACTGAATAAATGTCAATTCTCCGGTCTCTTCCCACAGACATCACATATCTTCAAACAAAATTTGCAAAGGCTCAGGGCTGATTCAAATTCATATCGAACACTTCTGAAATATCACATTACTACTCACAAATTCCTGTGAACTTTAAGAAAGATGCAGTTGCACACCTCTCGGCATTTACCATCTACAGAAAAGATCAAAAAGTCTGTGTATTCTCTGTCCTTTCTGTTAGATTAACATTTAAAACTTTTTAATTTTATGAAATAAATTAAAACTTTCTTACCCGTCTTTAAAGTCTTTAGGCATTGGCCATTGTTGAAGTTCCATATCTTTAAACACCCATCTCTTCCACCTGTGATGAGTCTGCAAACACAAGATGATAACACAAAGAGCAAGAAAGAACAAATCATTTTCTGAATTTATGTTATAAAATACAAAACCTGTGTGCACAACTCACCTCCTCCCTTCAGAGTCCATAGTCATGCACGTGATGGCAGTCAGATCATTCGTGCCACCAAATTCAAAAACCTGATGCCCACTGTCAAAGTCCCAGACTTTCACCACCTTAAAACCAGCAACATGCCCATACCTCTGTCTTTAAACAATGTGTGTGTATATTTTCAGTCTTGAGATCAGTGTTCTGAGAAGCATTTGTTTACTTACAGCTCCCTCACAGCAGCTCACAACTTGGCGGAACTCCTGGCTGTAGCTGCAGCAGAGAACAGGCTGGTCATGTGACACGGTGGAGTGCCTGTGGAGCCTCGGCCTGAGAGGGGAGACACAAGAATGAGATCATATTAGACTCACCTCCGTGGACTGATGCTTAATAAATACAGCAAATGGCTCTGCGAGTGGAGAACTGAGTCATTTCCATGACAAACCGTCAACTTTACATTAAATCACCTGAAGAATTTATCCATGCATTTATTTCAGAACATGTTGGAAAATCTATTCATGGAAAAGAAACAGAGCTCCCAGCAAAGGCAACCAACCTCAATTTCAGGGGGAGCACAGCCATACAGTCTGCTGCAATGTACAGAGATTTCATAGCGGGGGAATAGGAGCAGGAAAATATATCCCTGTGAATCCCGACAGCTTTGGGGTCTGCTGTGAACAGGCAGCACTGATCCTGAATGTGCCAAATCTGAAATGAGAGCAATGGAAGGTTATTCACATCGTGTCCTCGCAGAAAATCAGCAATACCACCTTTTACATTGCATTTTTGTCACATCATCTAAGTGGAAAAGGTTCATTTGGGTAGGAATGAGCACACGTGCAAAACAAATTCATGCAGAAAGTATAAAAAAAATCACTTTGAGTGTGGCATCTGTGGAGGCAGAGAAGATCTGGCTGTCCTCTGAGCAGATGCACAGGAATAGAACGGGAGCAGAGTGGCCTTTCAACACACCAAGCGGTTTCCTGAACAGAAGATCCTAATTAGAAGTAAATAACAGTCCTATCTACAGCCAATGATTATTTTCTCAAAGACAGTCCACTGAGTTATCGTTCCTCACCCAGAGAAACGTGGGTTCCATAGGCGGATGAGTTTGTCCATGCCTCCAGTCACCAGCAAGCTGTGCTTCTGACAGAGGTCAAAGGTCTTCACACCTTTATAGATCGTGAAGACTGTCTGATCACATGATGCCCGGACCTGTGGAGTCCAGCTCAGTGGGGTCTTTCTGGTTTTACCCTCATAGCAGGCCTCTTTGATCTCATTCAGCTGCTGTGCCAAATCTGATATGGGCAGCACACAGCCTCGAGAGGAAAAAATACAACAAAAGGCATTCAATTACAAGGTGGCGTGCGCCAGCATCAATCAAAACATCTTTTTGGATCGGGATAAGTCATCAGCAAAATAAATGACCAAGCTCCAAGTGAGCATGCCGACGTACTGGACAATCACACACACAGACAGGCTGATATTGACTGGTGGATTTGTGATACATGAATCATCATGAGTCATCTTTCACAGCTCTCCAAGCAGACTGTCTCATGGCGGAGTTACATTACTGCACATCGCAAAGCAAAAGTTGGTCTTTTTTTTAAACCAGCATTTTCAGGAGACATCGTTATTTGTTTGTGTCTCATTTCAGAGACTGTGTGTGTGCAGAAGAGACAGCTAAGCATCTATTTTTAAGCCAGTGAGAATACGATAATGATCTTGCTTAGCCTGTTATTGCATATAGCTTGTGCCGAAGAAAAATTGAAGCCGAAATTACCTACAACAAGAGAAGCAGGCTCTTCATTTGATGAGGAGACGACAGCTCGAAAACTGTGAAAATATCTTGCCTAAATTCAAAGATAAGGCTTTGTATTACTAAATCATCACCTCAAATTTCAATGGAAAAAAGCCACATGGTTGAGAAAAGCAAATCAATTCATTGTTGGCATATATTAGAATTGTTACAGCAGAATATATTATTTACAGACAATCACAGTATTTCTATTCTTCATGTCATCTATAATGACAATGCAAGAGACAGTTTTTGGAGCACACTGTTTATTTGTCAAAAAACAAACAACAGAATGCTTTTTTTATTCTAATGAATAGTCAAATATCTTGTCATGATTCAAATAGTGCATCCCTCATCAACCAGTGGTCCTAAAAATGGAGAGGCTAATTTAGTCAAATAGACAAAAAGACTTCATATTTTTTACTTTGCTCGTAGTGAAATTAATATAATTGAGAAAAAAAAGAGAAAAAAATTTAACTTCAGATTACATTTCTCAAAGTTAGACAAAAAAAGTTTAAACTATATATTTTAAAATCCTTACCTGCGTCACCCAGTCATAATGGACCTTCCATCTAACAAATGTCACATTTGGAGAAAGCACAACATTGTCTATTGCTATGTTGGGGATTTTATGTGTCTTCGGAAACCTTTTCCATAATCTAAAAAAAAGAGAAGAGAAGATTTTAAACTAAATTTTACATTGATACCATTTCATGAGACACAACTTCACACATAATAAAAGACACATTTTATTTGGGTGAACAGAAGTCTGATTGGTTATCACATAACACAACACATAGATCATGCAGTGTCTTCTAAATATTACTGTTTCTTAACTTTTGCTTGGTATGCGTTTCAACAGGTGAAATAGGCGTGCGTACAATGGACTTTAACAAACCAACATTACCTGAGAGTATCTTCGACAGACGATATTAATAATACCGTTACACATCCCTGCAACACAAATAAAATCTCAGTTTGTAAACTAAAAAATTGACTACTTTTTGGGGAATTAACAACATACATACTTCAGTGTCTCCAAACACAACACAACATTCATCAAGACCGGTGTAGCTGAAACATGAGAAGAAAAAAAAACATCAGCGTGATGGGAGTTGTTGGATATCTTTTAGATGATACAGCTCCGTTTATCACCTGTAGTCTAAAGTTAAAGGAATTGTGTCCAGGGCACTGATCTGACAATACGGCTCCAAAGTAGAGAGTTCATAAAGTTGTATTTCTCTGTCGCTGAAAACACATTCAGCACACTAAAGGTTCAAAGCAGCTGGATCCTGGTAAAAACAGCAGTTGTGGTCCTCGGGGACACCGTGTGTGTCTGCCATTACCCCGTTCCCATCATCAGCTTGTTGTACTCCAGCATCAGAGTGAAATCAGTTGCCCACTTTGATTTTTGATTGGAAGGTTCTTCATTCTGTAAAAAGAAATTGCATATTAAAAGCTTGAGCTTCACTGAATAATGTCAGTTAAAATAAAACAATCTTAATCTTGCTTACTGGGAATAAAAAGTCAACTATGTTTAGCAGTTTCTTTATCTTATAATCAGATAATTCGTTTCAAACTCTAATTTTCAGTGGTACTGCCTTCAGGGGAGAGATCTAGAGTACTAAGGACAAAAATTCAATAGAACTGAAAAAAAAAACTGAACAAAAGATGAAAAAAACGCATGCTGTTCTTTTCTGGAGGGTTACACCTGTTTTCTTTTGGGAAATGTCTTCATGGATTTGTTACTTTTTATGTTTTTTTAATGACAATTGTTTTGTTATCAAAGTGCATTTGATTTTTTTTTTTGTCTTCTCTCAAAGGCTGATATTGAACATGAACTGTCAGAGAGTAGGGAGGAAAAACATACACAAAGTGGGAACATACAAACATGTGTTTGGTCATCTGAGGTTGAAGCTCTGGAGTCCAACAGCACACAAACCCATCTTCTCGTGCCGTCACCACGGTGCCGTCGTGGGTGATGTGGATGTTGATAATAGGAATTCCATGGCCACAATCACTAATGGAGGCTGGCAGGGTGAAGGCCACCTGCTTCCTGCGCCGCTCGCTTTCCTCCTTCTCTTTATACTCCTGCAGCACATAAGTGCAGTACTCACCCTGCATCACATCACATGCATGCTGTATCTTAGCAATCACGCTATCATCAGGGATAGAAATTATGTAAAGATGCAAACTTGATGTCGAACAATAACACAAATGTATAAGCAAAGCAAGGATACATTTTTCAACATTTTAAGTCAAACAACCTGTTTAAAAGAAACACTGACAGCACATGAACTTAGCTAACATCAGCTAACACAAATTTTAGGTACTGGAAGACAAATATGTGTAGTCAGTTTCTTTAGACATAGGCTGAAATAT